AGCAGGTGTTTTTTTTGTTGTTTGTGTATAATACAAAGTGTGTGAATCTTGAATTTTGAGTTTGGGAATGTAAGGAAAGTGTTACCTGATTAAAGGTCAAAGACATTATTATCATCAGTTTTTAGACAATCTCCATGCTGCTCTGTTTTCTCTTGTTGGACTTGGAGAAGAAGCACATCTGAACCCAGCTCTTCTTCGGCTTAACCATTAGAGATTTCGCGTTTCTCGTCTCCACAAGATCATTCATGTATTGAACAACGGCCTGTAAGCATAAATCATCCGTGAGCGAGTACCATTTTAGCACAGAACTAATCAAGAGGGAGAGAGAGAGAGGGAACCTGAGGGCCCTTTTCGGCTATATCCCGAGGAGGAACTTGCAGTGGATTCTCCTGAGCGCGGAAAACACGCAACTTTGTAAGCATTTTGAAGGAATCTGGAAGAACACGGATTTGGTTATTGCTTATATCAAGCTCTTCAAGCATCTCAAGGTTGCCTATTGATCTCGGGAGTGATATCATGTCAGCGAAATTGTTTCCAATATTCAGCTTCACAAGCGTTGTGGCAAAACATAAGCTCTCTGGCACAGACTCGAGCTCATTGAAACTCACATCCAGCTCTTTGAGGTTAGCTAAAGAAGACATCGTCGTGGGTAACTGCCTGATGTTATTGTAACGGACAGACAATATCTCTAGCGTACTGATCTTCCCAATAGCTTCAGGAAGAGCTTTGAGTTTGTTATAATCTGCACGCAATTCTTTCAACGAAGAACACCCACCGATTGAATATGGGATCTCTTCGATATCATTTGTCTCAACGTCGAGCTTCTTTAGACTCACAAGAGAACCGATTGATTCAGGGAGAATCGGGAGGTTGTTACAGCTCAAATCAAGCTCCTCGAGCCGAACCAATCTGCTAAATGCAGAAGGCAGAGACGATAACTGGTTACCACTAAGATTAAGGTAAACCAAGTTCAACAACTCTCCAATAGACTCAGGAAGCTGACCGATTCTGTTGGAACGCAAATCGAGCTTTGTCAAAGAAGAAAGTCCTCCTATGGTGTTTGGCAATACCACAATATGATTCTCAGACAAATCAAGCGAAGTCAGACTCGATAACTTCCCAATCGAATCAGGAAGCCACTCGACTTGTTCCGTTAACTTGTTCTGTAGATTCAGCTCTTGAGTAGCTTTCTTAGCTGATACCTCAATCAAACTAGCAAGTTTTATCAAACTTAGCTTCTCTCCCTCATTGCCTACAGATAACAAAACGATTCACACTACAGTTACTAAACCATACTCTAATTCCAAATCAAATATCTAGTTCTATGAGTTCTATCTAAAGGTCTAAACTTTATACAATTCCAGTTCCTAAACTTTAAATCAATCCAAGTTTAAGAACTCACCGGCGAATTTTCCGGTGGTAAGAGATGAATCAACAATCTGAGGTTTTCGAGGAGCTGCAAAACCATCACTGTAGAGAGGAGACTTAGCTTTGGTCACGAAGCTATCGTCTCGTGAAACCATTTCCTTAGGTCGAACAAGAGGCTTCTCGGAGAAATCAGAACGAACCACCGGAGACGGAGGAGGACGAGAAGGAGCAGAGCCGTTAGAGGAAGGAGAAGCGATACAATTAGAAGCTCTCTGAATAAATTCGTCGAACAAGATATGTGCAGTTTCCAGATCGAGAAGTTTCAAAGCTTCTCTTTTCTCTTCTTTGCTACGAAACTGAACAAAACTTTTCTTCATTTCTTGTAAAACCATGAAAAGCTCACCAGGTACTTCAGAGCTTTTCCTCTGTTTAGCAATGGCTTCTAAACAAGCTTGATCTTCTTTCTCAACGTTAAGTATCAAACTTTTACCTGCTTCGACTTCGTCGATTCCTGGTCTTGGTGGTAAAGATCTGTGAATTCTCATGATTTCTTCAACTACTTGCTCTGTTGAATCCAAATGCTTATCCAATTGCATCAAATCCATTATGGAAAAAACCCAGAAATTGG